TGCCGGGAGTCAGTTCCAGACAATGTAGCCTGAAAAGATCAGAGCCCACCAGACCAGGGCTGATGAACAAGCTGAAAGTTGAGGAGCTTTGTCAGCTGTGAGAGCAACAAATTCTTTTCACCCTGTGCAGGGGTGAGCTTATATCAGATTCAGGCTGCACTGCCCCCATCTACTTCCTTCTCTTATATCTAATCTTCCCTTAAATCCTTACTTCTCTATCCATGGAATGGGATTAAGCCCTTCTGCCTTTCCAAAAAATTAAGATAAGGCAATTTACTTATTAAGATGAAATGAGACTATAGCAAATGGCAATGATTTCTTTATTTAAGCATTTTTTTTATTGTGGGAAAATGTACATAACAAAATTTACAATTTTAACCATTTTTAAACCTACGTCTCAGCGACAGTAAGTAATTCCCATCATTGTGTGATCATCACCACTGTCCATCTCCAGAGCATTTTCATCTTTCCATACTGAATCTTTGTACCCCAGTTCCTAGTAATCACCACCACCACCACCAGTTCCTAGTAATCACCAAGCCACTTTCTATCTCTGTGAATTTGTCTACTTTACATAATTCATGTAAGTGCAATGACACAGGATTTGTCTTTTTTGACTGACTTATTTCACTTAGCATAATGTCTACCTTTGGGTATAGATCCAGAAGTGGGGCCACTGGATTATAGGTTAGTTCTAGTTTTAATTTTTGAGGACTCCTTACATTGTTTTCCAGAATGCCTGCACAGATTTTGATTCCCACCAGCAGAGCACAAGATTCCCTTTCCCTACACCTTTGCCAACACTTGTTATCTCTTGTCTTTTTGATAATTAATAGCCATTCTAACAGGTATGAAGTAATATCTCATGATTTTGATTTGAATTTCCCTGATGGTTAGTGATGTTGAGTATTATTCATGTTCGCGAAATGGCCACCTGACGTGGCCATTTATATGTCTTCTTTGTAAAAATGTCTATTCAAGTCCTTTGTTATTTTAAATAAAATTATTGTTTTTTCCATATTATATAGGTCATATAAGTTCCCTATATATTTTAAATATTAACCCCTTATCAGATATACGGTTTGCAAATATTTTCTCCCATTCCATGGGATGCCATTGTTTTGTTGACTGTTTTGTTTGCTATGTAGAAATGTTTAGATTTGATATAGTCCCACTTCTTGATTTTTCATTTTGTTGCTTGAGCATTTGGTGTCATCTAAAAAATTATTGCCAAGACCAATGTGAAGGAGCTTTCCCCCTATGTTTTCTTCTATAACTTCTTCGGGTATAGTTTTACAGTTAAAGTCTTTATTTTGAGTTCACTTTTGTGAGTGCTGTAAACTAGGGGTCCAATTTTATTCTTTTGCATGTGGATATCCAGTTCTCCAACACTTTGTATTGGAAAGACTATCCTTTCCTGTTTTTGGCTCTGTTGTCAAATGTTAGTTGCTCTTATATGCACGAGTTTATTTCTGGGCTTCAAATTCTGTTCAAGTGGTCTACCTTTTTTATGCCAGTACCATACTGTTTTGATAAGGATAGCTTTATGATATAGCTTGAGATCAGAAAGTGTGGTGCTTCCAACTTTGTTCTACTCTCTTAAGATTGCTTTGGCTATTTAGAGTTTTTGTGGCTTTATGCACATTTTAGGATTTTTTTTTCTATTTCTGTGAAAAATGCCATTGGGATTTTGGTATGGATTATATTGAATTAATAGATTTTTGGGGGAGAGAGGCTTAATTCTTTTATGGTGATGGATGAACAAAATGATGAGGTAAGGGAATTCAGATTCCTCCAGGCCAAATTAAAACCATTAGTGGGTCTGTCTCTCAGCCTACTTTTATATTCTGTTTTTTATTATTGGGGCTAAAAGCCTGCAACTCACAGCCACCAATTCCCTTATGTTTCCCCTTAGGTTCTACCCCAAAGAGGTACGGGCACAATATCAGATGGCAGACACAGTCTAAGTGCAGCAGTTGCTGGAAGTTGCTGGCATGGCAATGGGCATGATGCCCTGGTCATGGTTGCACCTCCAGCATGGCTGCACCAACTGTGACAATGTCTTCCTTTAGCAGTGGAAGCAGGCATAGAGCTAGAATGCAACCCAGAGGCAGGGTCAGCATGAAATCACTGAACTTACTCTTCCAGCCCTTCCCAATGTTTGTAATCAATTCTCTTTATTAAATCTCCTCTGCTTGAAATACTTAGAATGGTACCAGTTGTCCCAGCTGGAACCTGACGTAGCATCCTTTCATGCAACTTGATGTAAAAAGAACACTAAACTTTAAAAATGTTTGCTGTGTATCCTTCCAGACTTTTCTTTATGGTTTTATCAATCTAATGATTTCACATGTGTGTTTACATGAGGATTATCATTTTATATACATTATTCTTCAACTTGACTTTTAAAAGATTTTGACAACAGGGCTTGGAGTTCTCCCCAGATTGTTTAGAGATGAGATTACTTCGTTGCTTTAAATTGATGCTTAGTGTGCTATCAGCCCTCTATCGAAAGATGGACATTTGGATTTTCACCTTTTTTTTTTTTTTTCTCTTCATAAGTGCAGTGGTGAACATACTTGCCCATGTGCCAGTGTTTCTCTGGGACAGTTACCTCGAGTGGAATTGCAGTGCTGAGTTAGGTACATTTTTGGCTTTACCAGGTTTGCCTAGTTCTTTAAAGTGGGAATGCCAGTTTGCATTCCCACCCAGGGGCAGCCAACTGTCCTCTCCAACACTTGCTGTTTCCAAACTTGTTCGTTTGGGTCAGTCTTGTTTTCGCTGGCATGTCCCCTGCAGACTCACACATTTGAGCATCATCTGAGAGACTGACAATGACAACTTCGGGCTGACTCCAAAGGCAGCAGTCACTATTCTTGCAGATCTTCGAGGCACCTTTATTTGGCCAACAAAGCTGCACCAAGGTCAGTATGATTTCTTGTGCCACCAGAAGCTGCTGATCAGGACACAGTTGAGGGAGGAAAGAAGCACTGAGCCTGACCACAAACAGGACTGGTGTGGAGACTTCTAGCAAGGAACTGTGGGTGAGTGCAGTCCCTGGAGCAGTGGCTGAATCTGCAGCCTCCTGAGGCCAGCTCCAGGGGCAGGCAGGGACCCAATACAGCAGAAAAGGATTCTATCAGTCACACCCTGGGGACACCCAGAGCAACAAATTTGCCCTAGAGAGTTTGGTGGGCTTTACAGACAGCGACTCCATGTCCACTCCCAGATTAATTAAATGTCATGAGAGTTGGGTGGTGTTCACCTCAACTCTGGTTACCTCCTAGTGACATGCAATTCTGTGACACATATTAGATAGATCCTGGGGCCCCAAACAGAGTCCAGTAGGAGTGCATGAACCTCTCTGCTTTGAGAAATAGGAAGCAGGTAGGACAGGGAAGAGCCTGGAGAGACCTGAGAATGGTTATGCTTGGGATCATTTTTTTTTTTTTTTCAGATGGGTCTTCCCCCCCCCTAAAAATTTATTTATTTATTTGTTTGTTTGTTTGTTTGTTTATTTATGCAAGAACTGGGGTACAGGTCAGATTCTCGGGAGGGTGAGAGGATTCACCAGAGACAGAGTGGGGAACAGAACAGGCAGAGTGATGAAACACACTGCTGAGGGGAGCAGCGGGAGAGACAGGAGAGGTCTGCTGCGCCATGTGGGATCCTCGCCAGCCAGGCCGGGATCGAACTTGCACTGCAGAGGCTGTGGACAGCTTCCCAGCGCTGTGCTCAACTGCCTGTGCCACCGGGGGAGGCCTGATTGGGTTCCTTTTGTTTGGTTTTTGTTTTCCTCAAGAACCTGCAAAGAATTTTCTTGCAGGTGGGAAAAGAATCAGCTCACTCTTGCTGGAAGGCTTGGCTGGGAGTGCAAACTTTGCCACCCCATGCCTGTTTCCCCACGGTAAAACCTGGCTAATAGGCCCTCCTGCCACCGGAAGGGCTCTTGTTAGTGAGCAGCAGCTGGCTGGAAGTCAGGGCCACAAGTTCTAGCTCCTGCTCTGACAGAAACTTACATAAGCTCCTTAGGGTTTCTCTCCTTCAGTTTCTCAATCTGTAAGCAGATGTGATCTCCTCTTTCACTGCCTTCCATGAGGAGAACAGAAGAGGTGAAGGGTAAGATAAGACACTACAGAGAAACCTTCAGGTGCAAACTCAGGTGTGCGAGAAAGTGGCCTTGGGGGTCTTTCCAGTCACACTCAACCCACCTGGTTTTACTTCAGATGCTGGGAGACCAAGTTGTTTTTTTTTTTTTTTTAAGATTTATTTATTTATGCATACAAGAACTGGGTATAGGCCACAGGGGTGTGTCTGTGTGTGTGTGGGGGGGGGGGTTTAGAGGATTCACCAGAGATAGAGTGGGAAACAGAACAGGCAGACTGACTGAAACACACTGCTGAGGGGAGCAGCGGGCGAGTCAGGAGAGGTCAGCTGCGCCATGTGGGTAGCTCCCTGGCCAGCCTGGGAATCGAACTCGTGCTGCAGAGGCTGTGGCCAGCATCATAGGTTGCGTCTTAACCCCTTGCGCCACCAGGGAGGCCCTGAGAGACCAAGCCTTATGGCTGAAACCGGTGCCCCGACCGCCTCTGGCCTGCGCTCGCGGGCAGCTGGGCAGCAGGGTGGGGAAGGCTCTCCGGAGCCCGAGCCCGAAGAGCAGCCCTTGTCCTGCGGGGTCCTCCAGGGTCGCTGCGTCCCAGTCGGCTCCCGCGCGCCACCTGCCGTCTCCTCCTCGCCACTGCCCAGAAACCACGTGTAAGAAAGTGCTTACAACCTAACTACGCACCCTGGTGTCGCCCCGTCCCCACCAATAGCGGCGCGGGAGGCGGGGCAGGGGAGGGCGGGTGTCCAATCACCTCCAGGATCCCGGGAAGGGGGCGGGGCTCGGGCTTCTCCACGTTGGGTTTGTCCGCAGCGCTAATTACTTTTTCCGAGGGCCGGCGGGCTGCACTCGGGCTGGCGCCGCCGCCTCGCGCGCTGCTGCTCCGCGGTGACGGGCCGGGCTGCAACTCCAGTACCATGTGCGACGGCGCCCTGCTGCCCCCGCTCGCGCTGCCCCTGCTGCTGCTGCTGCTGTGGGGACTGGACCCGGGCACAGGTAGCGCCCCCTCCGCGGGCGCCCCTGCGGCCCCCGCGCCCCTCGCGCCCCTGCGCCCCGCGCTCCCGCGGCACCGGCGCCGGCCGGGAACGCCCGCCAGTCCCGCGGCGGCCGCTGACAGCCCCGGGCGCGCGCGGGGACGGAGCTCCGGGCGGCGCGGGCGGCCCTCCGGAGCTCGCCGGGCTGCGCGGGGCGCGGGCGGAGCTCGGGCAGACGTGGAGGCGCCGGGGCGCGGGAGGCGAGGGGCGCCGTGTCCGGCTGGCGCGGCGCGCCCAGCCCTGGACCTGCGCGCGGGGGGCGGCCGGAGGGCGGGCGGGCGGCGGCCCCGCGGCGCTCACGCGTGTCCTCTCTCCCCGCAGCTGTCGGCGACTCGGCGGCCGACGTGGAGGTGGTGCTCCCGCGGCGGGTGCGCCCCGACGACGTGCACCTGCCGCCGCTGCCCGGCGCCCCGGGGCCCAGACGGCGCCGGCGTCTCCGCGCGCCCCTCGCCGCCCCGCGCGTCCGGCCCGGCGAGCGCGCCCTGCTGCTGCACCTGCCGGCCTTCGGGCGCGACCTGTACCTGCAGCTGCGCCGCGACCTGCGCTTCCTGGCCCGCGGCTTCGAGGTGGAGGACGCGGGCGCCACCGCGCGCCGCGGACGCCCCGCCGACCTGTGCTTCTACTCCGGCCGCGTACTCGGCCACCCCGGCTCCCTGGTCTCGCTCAGCGCTTGCGGCGCCGCCGGCGGCCTGGTACTGCCTGCGCCCCCTCCGGGTCGGTCGGTCTCGGCGCCAGGGTGGGCCCTGGGAGGGCTGGCGTGAGGGTGGGGGTTCCTCGGAGGGACGTTCGCCTCCCGGGGATGCTCTGCCTCAGGTCTGAGAGAACCCCCCCTCTTCCAGCCCTGACCTTCCTTCCGCAGTGCCTGTGAACATGGGGGGGGGAGGGGAAGCATCTGTGTGTTCAGTGCCTTCCATCAGTTGTGGAGCCTCACTGTGTGCCGGGCCAGTTGCAGGTGGGGTCCATTGCAGCCCCCAGGGGAGCACAGGGCCAGGGATTAAACCTGTCAGGCCCCAGGCCGGAGAGGGGCACTTTGTCCAGGTGCAGGGAGAACACTGCTTGCATTTGCACAGGTGTGCATGGGTGCTCGTCACGGGGAGCACCTCTGTGTGTTGCTCATTTATTCTTGGATGTGGGGACAGGTGATCGGCAGTCTCCCTTCTGTGCTTTTGAGTTTTTCTGTACTTGGAAAAGGAAGTCTGGAGGGGTCACCTGACAGGTCACTAATCAGCTCTTCTTAGTTAAAAGATAAGAACCAGGTGAGGTAGGGTGCTCATATCCTTGTTCTCTCATCCCACAGGCAGGCCTTTGCCTGACATCGGCAACACCTGCCATCCTCAGCCAGGCCTGACAGGTGCTTGCATAGGTGAGAAGATGCTCTCCCTGCCCCCCAGACTCTGCAGCTGTGGTTGGAGTGCTCCATGCCCTGCTGCATTTGAAGCACCTGAGATAGATGATCTGCAGGGCGGGAGAGGTTCTTTTCACCCCTGTCCTGCCCGTGCTTACACTTGGTCACTGGGTTGGTGCCCCATCACTTTTCGCTTCTGCATCATGCCCCCCAGGCATGCACATGGCTGGCAGATGGGCTGCCCCCAGTAAAGCCTGGTATCAGCTCAGCTATTGAAATAGCAGGGTTGCCTGGCTCCTGGGAAAAGTGTCTGATATTTTACAAGTCTCTCCTTCCCAAGCCCAAGAAGCTGCTGCCTAACCTCCATCTTATCTTATTCCACCATCAAGAATTCTTTTGCCCTTACCCATGTGTTCTGCAGCAAGTCACCCAGAATCCACAGCAAAGTCAGAATGCCTGGGGTGCAAGTTTGTATGTTGAGACTTCTCCATTCCTTCAATCAGAAGGGACTTGGGCCAATTTCCTAAGATTGGTCTTGACCAGTGGCCCTTTCAGAACTTTGTGTCCTGATCAGAATGTGAGCAACTTTTGCTTGGCTGGGAAAATCAACTTCTTTGGTTAAGCAAGGAAAATGGACCATGGCGGGGGCTGGGAGAGGCTAATGTGGAACAGGGCAGGGAATGTGGGCTGTGGGTGAGGAGACTTAAGTGGGAGCGAGGAAGGCTCAGATCACTGCAGGACTGGGGTCAAGGCTGTATCATGTTCTGGGAGGGACTGGAAGGCCCGCATCATTTTTCCTGTTTTTGCCAAAGTGTTTAAAGTCTAGGCCACATCGCTGTACTGTACATGGAAACATCTGAATCCCATTTGCTGCGGTTTAGTGAGTTTCTGTAGAGGTCAGAGTTTATACTTCTTGGTGTAAAGTTTCCAGCGAGGAGCTATCTGTGAAGGAGCCAAGGGTGGAAATCTGGATAGCATTGATTTAAAGTCCCCACAGAGTAGGTGCCGGGCGCTCTCACAGATGGCATCTGAGCCTTGACCCAGTTCCCTCAGTCCTCTGGTTTTTGGAGAAGACCGTCCTTCCCTTTGACACCATGTGAGGGCGCTGTGCTTTAGATAAAGGAACCAGGCCAAGAGGCTGAGTTCAGCGTGTGCCAGCTGCGGTGGACCTCTGAGACTTGAGAGGTTAAATTCCTGCTTGAGCAGACACTCCTGCTGTTTAGTCTGTCTTGTTCATCCCTTCTTGTGAGCTGGACGTTGCACTCACGTCTTCTAAGAACACTCTCTAGAAGAAGGGCTGGAGGCTGTGGGGCAGCCTGGTGACCTGGAGGGGAGCTGTTGGACTCTTCCCAGGTGGTCCTGGGAAGCTGAGAGAAAAGAAAGAGAAGGAGCTTAGGCTAGGCCAGCTTGCTTTGTAGCCACCTTACTTTGACTTGGGTTCTCAAATGTGCTTGAGACCATTCAGGTGGGTGGTGATGTGTGGGTCACTTTGACCATGGGGAAGTGCTGTGAAGTGAGATGGTGCGCGTGCACGCATGTGTGAGTATGTGCGTGCATGCGTGTGTGTGTGTGTATACAGGCTCAACTACAAGGTATAGGAGAGGAGTAAAGCCAAGTAGATTGGTGGCCACAGGTGGGGCCATTCGAAAGCCTCCTGCATCTTAGGAATCATGCACAACAAGGAATTTGCCAGCTTTTTCTGTAAGGAACCGAATAGTAAGTATGTCAGACTCTGTAGGCCATAGGAAACCACTCAAACGCTGCCCTTTTCATGTAAAAGCAGCCAGAGACAGTAAATAAACAGATGGATGTGGCTATGTACAATAAAACTTTATTCCATTCTTGACTAGCAATTAAATCTTGCTGTCGCTAATGTCTCCAAAGGGCTTAGTAGCAAGAAATGGGAGCAGGAAGTGCTCTGCCCACCCCCCCTTGGGTGGAATCGTGCTCTCTGTAGAGACGTTTGGCATCTGTTTAAAGGAGACACGTGATTAGAACAGGTCATTACTTAAGTCTTCACAGGGCGTGAAGAGTGGGCCTCTTGCCTCGTCATGCTTGAGAGAGTGGGCGGAGGGGTGGGCCTGGTGGTTCCCTCTCTGTCGTATCTTGGAAAGCTGTGCAAGCTGTGCTTTTTGGGTCTTCAAAGCCCAGAGGCTCAACTATTAATTGTTTTTTGTTTATGCTACTTCATCTTATTTATATTTCACAAAATCCTTAGACATAATGCAGGTTTTTGGAAGAGTTCCTATAACCGGATTATTTCATAGCAACTATATAATGACAGAGCACTGAACTTTGAGGAAGGTATTTTCCACAAGCAAAGAATTTATTTAATTTCAGATTAGCTGCTTCTGGTGAACAGGATCAGATCATGGAAGGACTTGGAACCTGACTAAGCTTCACTGGGCAGAGTTGGCTTGGGCATGAGATGGAACTTCAAGGGATAGCATGCCAGCCTCTGGAAGACTCTGTGCTATTTGTGCTGAGTGCCTGACTGAGGGGGGAGGGGCTGCTTACACACACACACACACACACACACACACACACGAGGGGTGGGGGTCCTCCCAGCGGGGTGGTCAGCCACACAGTGGCCATTCTTCCTTAGACGATACTAATGTGCTCTGGGGAGTCCACCCTCCAGCATCTGCCACCCTTGGCTGAGGCCATGGCCTGCCTTGCGATCAGAGAGGATGCCCAGGAGCTTAGGATGCAGGGTGAGAAGCCTGCTGGGTCTCCAGGTTATCCCAGCAGAACTGTGGCCGCCCACTCTGGCACAGACCCCTAGCACAGGTGACTGTTCAGGAAGCATATACTGTGTAGGTGTCTTCCTCACTGTTCGCCTGGGAGCTTTTGCAAGAACTCTCCCATCTGTCTGAAAAGGAAAGCGGTGTGGTCAAGATTAGAAGAGAGGGGGCTGAGGTCAGCTAGTCAACAAGCAGGTAGGGCTGAGGCTGGGAGAATTAGGGAGACCCTGTGCTCAGGGAGGCAACCTGCACATAGGTGACTCCATGAAAATGGGCAGGTTTGGGAGGTTGCTGCCCTTTGGTGTTATCAAGCGCTTCCGATTGACTATAAAGCCACCTGCTTTTTAATATAGCATCACTTGATTGCATACAGCTGAGCTGGAAAGAGTCTGGCAAACATAATTTGGAGACCCATCAGAAGGGAATAAAGGACACTATATAATAATCAGTATCTTAATTCAGGTGTGGGGAAAGCACATCAATTGATTCATCAATATTGCTGAAGAATGTGTCATGTGCAGAGTGATGTATTTGGGAAATGCTAAGCTCATGTTTGAAGCACTGTAGAAAGCAGCAGCTAAGCAAGTGTTAAGGTAAAGGAGGAAAATAAGCAGAATGGGAAAGCGTGCAAAGTTCAGAGGCCAGGGGGAATTGCAGGGAGGACCTTGGATCAGTCCTAGGCCTCTGCCTTCTCTGGACACGGCCTCCGTGATGTTCCACACCCGCCACCATCCCCCACAGGACAGGTAGGGGCACGTGACCCTGCCTCATTACCTACCTGGGGTAGGTTGTTACATTTCCCCATTTGAATTTCTATTTCACTAGCAACATTTTAAAAAAGAAAAATGTGTAAGCCAGGGTGACAAACTGAAGATGTTGAACTGAAGATGTTGTGGGCAGATTGCATTCTTGGAGCTGATTTTCTGAGCCCTGAAGTGCTGCAGCTGTCTGCCCTTGGGTGTATGTGACGGGAGATGTTTTTGCAGCCAATAGGTTGGAGGGAGCCACTGGGAGGCTCTCATTAACCTTCCCGGCTTGCTCCCAGGCACAGCTGCATGGACACACTCTTGTTCCTTAGGAAATAGCGCCCTTGGGACCTTGAGTGAGTCGCCTCTGGCGCCAGCCTCACAGGGGTGAATGGCCTGGGTCCTGTGTGAGTGCTGATGGAAGGAAAGGGGGTAAGGCCTGGGAAGCAGGTGGGGAGAGCCTGGCATATGAAGGCATTGAGACATGCTCTTCTCTTGCCCCCCCAGGCCCCATCCAGACTTTCCAGTTGTAAATCAACCCATCAGCCAACACTGTTGACTAAATGAAGAGATGGTTACCACACACCTGCTGTGGGCCAGACCCTGTGGTAGGCTGCCGAGGGCCTCAGAAGGGAGACAAAGGAGGCCCTGTCTTAGAAGCTGAGTCTCAGGGGAACCCCCTGGGTGAATGAGGATACAGAAGAGGAGGGTGGGGCCTTGAGACTAAGGGCTGTTAGAGCTGAAGGAGCCTCAGATTCTGGGAGGGAGGAGTGAGGGCAAACCCTCCAGGACCAGGTCTCCCTGCGCTAAGGGTGCCACAGTTGAGAGGGGGTGGGAGGTGAGCTGAACTGACAGGT